CCCGCCTTTTCCAGGGACTGCCAGTGCCGACGCCAGAGCCCTAGAGCCTGCAGCTGCCTGCCAAAAGGATACCCGCCCCCCGCCCTGCCGGGACCCCATCCAGCCCCGAGGGAAGGGTGCAGCCCGGGGCTGCGGAAGAGGGACGGCCTGAAGCCATCAGTTGGGCACATCGAGGAGACCCCTTTGAGCAGCTGCCCACCTGCAGCTCCATAACTCGGGTCACCAATCCCCCCCCAAGAAAGAAAGGGCAGTAGGACCAGCGCCTAGGCTGCAGAAGCACCCCAGTCCTGGCAAGAGAGTCCCTAGCAATGGAGCGTCCCCGACGGGGAAATTTTCCAGGCGAGAGAACCGGATTTGGTCTTTGCAGTCCATGCACTGCCCTGGCACTACTTCCAGCGGCGAAGCTGAAGGGAGGGAGATGAGGGAATTTTGAGGTGCAAAACCCTGTGCTGAGCACCGAGGCTTTGTCTCAAGCGGCTGTGGGCTGTTCCACAGCTACAGGCAGCGGGGGCTTCTTGCTGCCTGGCCCTGGCTCAAACTCACTGGGGACATCCCAGTGCCACCGACTTGGGCCTGGGCCCCGTGTCACAGCAAACTGCTTGCTCCTCACCTCCTGCCCCCGCCACTGCGCCGGCATCTGCTCGGCCTTATCAGTGTTTCCCTTCACAGTTTTCGTCTTCCCCGAGAATTAGTTCTGAGATACTCCGTTTGGGACATTTTCCTTTGGAGCGTGTTCAGTGGCAGGGGATCGAGAAGGGCCTTGGGAGGTGTGGGTTTTTCCTGCTGCTCGTGGGAAACTAGGAACTATATGATGGGAAGAAAGGTGAAGCCAAGGCCTCCAGGGAAAATTTGCTGACAAGTCCTCCAAGTATAGCTGCTGCGAAGGTCACCACGCAGCCCTGCTGGAGATGCTGCTACTGGCAACTCCCCCCCACACCCGTACTAGAGCTTCTCTGTGTGACAAAGGTCGATGTCTATTTCAAATCAGGCAAACGACGGGTGTCCTCGGCGGGAGGCCCCGTCAAAAGCTCCCTACGGTGTAACGCGAAGTTTACTGGGTCTCTGCGACTTCCAGGATCGAGACCTGGAACTGAGACCTAAGCCGGGCGAGTGACCCTTGAGCTGAAAGACCCTGAAAGACCTGCTGCTGGTCTCTGGGCAAAGGAAGTGTGAAGTGGCCGAGGCAGAGCCCTGGCACAAGTTCATAGACTGGTGCCCATATCTGGGCATTCTGAAGGGAAATTCATTTAGAAGAATTAAATAATCATAGATGAATTATTAATGTATGGCTATTGTAAATTAACAATCGGTTTATAATTGGACAGCTGCAACACGATAGAAGATACAAAACACTACCAGAACCAACTTTCTGTATTAATATTCATGCAATCTTATAACATCCTGCACGGTTATTGTGGAACACAAATGGTGTAAAACTTCTGAACCTATTATTTTGGTAGTTCTGTGGTTATACACGGGAAATAGTTTCTCATTCAGAAACTAATCTGAGCATACTGTTCCCAGAAACAATGGAAAAGAGGTAAGTTCACACTGGAAATGAGGTGAAGATTTAGACAATAAAGATGAACCTTATCTTGGCTTTCAGAAATGCTTTTATTAAAAGTCAACTATTTATTTTTGTGTGTGTGTTCGCATTTCCCGGTTATTATTTTCTCTGAATATACAAGTATGCATTAAAGTTGGGCTCCTCTATATCTATGTATACGGCTAACCGCTTATGAACTAAGCATTTTTTTTATTGTTGGGGCTTCCGAATTCTGTGGCAGGGGAAAAGGACTTGACAGGCGCGGACATCTCCATTAGTGCATCGGCGTGGAAAGGCCATCCTCAGGTAGCGCCCCAAGCGCCTGAGTCGCGGGGACCCCGACCTCCGCGGCTCTCCCTCCCGAGACAATCCCTTCCCGAACGCCCCGGGCGACCCCCGCTCGGTGCCAGCTCAAGGCGACCGCAGAAAACCGCAGAAAGCAGCCGGGTGAGCGTGTCCCCGGTCACGGCACCCACATGCAGACCTTTGCAGCCCCTTTGCTCCGCTTTCGACAGAGTCTCTTTCCCATCTACCAGCCCTGGTGGGGGATGTGTGGGGGTGTAGGATACGTGGCCATGGGAGCAGCTCCCGGGTCCCCGCGGTACCACAGCTTGTACTTTCGGTGTAGCCTTTGTGGCCCTCACCCGGCACCAGGAGACACTGTCAGGCGACGTTGACAGTGAACGGCGTAGAATTCGCGGTAGCCCCTGCTTAATCATTTTCGAGGCCCCTGCTTTTTTACATCAGGTAGTCCCAGGTTGCTCATCCCATCTCTCCCCGTCAGCTGGGCCACCCGTAGGAAAGAGAGGAGCAGGGGTATTGGGCACCAGGACCCCCCGGCAGCGCACGCCGGGGCGCAAGGAGCGGGGATGCCCGCGGATGCTGCGCGCAGTGTGTCGTTCGAGCTCAGACGCTCCGCGGACAGGGACAGCCCTGGCTCCGGCTGCCGGGGAAGGAAAGAGAGTCCCCGGGACAGAGAAATGTTCCTTCTTCCTCTCACTGTGGAAAAGACGGCGGTAAGCGGCAGTCCTTTCCCATCGCACGATCCACAATTGTTGTGTGTATAGATGTATTTGTTTTCAGTTTATTTGTATCTTACACGACGGGGGACGTTTGCTGGGAGCGAGAAACAGTTCCTTACCCAGCAGCTTTGGCGGAATAACCAGAGCAACGTCCGACCCCGGCTCCTGCGCTGGCGCTCCCCGACTGCGTGCCTAAACCTAGCGCGTCTGGTCCTGCTCGTTTATTTTGCTCTTGGTGTGCTTTGGGACTCTCTAAATAAGCTGCCGGTAATATATCTAAATCCCTTCTGGCGTCAGAAGCAAAGGCAGCAAATGCAGACGCTTCTGCCTCTCTTTTTCTCCAGCTTCATGAGTATTT